AAATCTTGTATTACAAACAAGAATAGTGGGCTGGGCGCGGTGGCTCAAGCCTGTAATCCCAGCACTTTGGGAGGCCGAGAGGGGCGGATCACGAGGTCAGGAGATCGAGACCATCCTGGCGAACACAGTGTCTCTACTAAAAAAAATACAAAAAACTAGCCGGGCGAGGTGGCGGGCGCCGGTAGTCCCAGCTACTTGGGAGGCTGAGGCCGGAGAATGGCGTAAACCCGGGAGGAGGAGCTTGCAGTGAGCTGAGATCCGGCCACTGCACTCCAGCCCGGGCGACAGAGCGAGACTCCATCTCAACAAAAAACAAAACAAAACAAAACAAAACAAAAAAAACAAAAAAAACAAATAAGATTAGTGAGGCCCATAGAAATAGGGGATTTTTTTTTCTGTTTTATAGAAAGCATTTTCCAAGCCTCTATTATGTATTTTTATAATGACTTATCATAATTGATGTCACAATAAGACACTCTGTTGTTCTCATTGGTGTAACTCTTTAAATGTAACTCAATCAAGATTTTTCTCTCTGCTACTTTTCAGGCAGTATTTATGCTTTAAAATGATGTATTTGGCCAGGCACAGTGGCTTATGCCTACAATGCCAGCACTTTGGGAGGCCAGGGTGGGCAGATCACCTCAGGAGTTCGAGACCAGCGTGGGCAATATGCAAAACCCCATCTCTACTAAAAATACAAAAATTAGCTGGGCGTGGTGGCACATGCTGGCAGTCCCAGCTACTCGGGAGGCTGAAGCATGAAAATCACTTGAATCCTGAAGGCGAAGTTTGCAGTAAGTGAAGATCATGCCACTACACTCTAGCCTGGAAAACAAAGTGAGACTTTCTCAAAAACAAACAAACAAACAAAGAAAAAACCAAATGATGTATTTAATTTTTGCAGTTTTTATAAGAGAAGTGGGTAGATGAAGAGAGCTGAGATTCTCATAGAGCTTTTCAGTCTTCCATCAAATAGCAAAAATTCTTTAAGTCTCTTCAATCCTTCCCATAGCACCAACCCACTCAGAATACTTTTTAAGCTTACAGTTCACCTACCTAAGCAAAACAATGCACAAGCATTACAAGAACTTAAGAATGAACTAAGCGGCCGGGCGCGGTGGCTCATGCCTGTAATTCCCACACTTTGGGGGGCCGAGGGGGACGGACCACGAGGTCAGAGATCGAGACCACGGTGAAACGCTGTCTCTATTAAAAATAAAAAAAATTAGCTGGGTGCGGTGGCGGGCGCCTGTAGTCCCAGCTACTCAGAAGGCTGAGGCAGGAGAATGGCGTGAACCGGAAGGCATAGCTTGCAGTGAGATTGCACAACTGCACTCCAGCCTGGGCGACAGAGCGAGACTCAGTTTCAAAAAAAAAATAAAAAGAATGAACTAAGCATTCATTGCTCCTCTTAATTCCTGTCACTTCTATTGGTATATGTATCAAGGATCACACATTCATTTCTGAAGAAATTAAGGCCAAATGTTCCAACTTCAATCACCACAGTTAGGAACGTGCTCTTTGTCCATCTATTTTAGATCTTTAAAATAACTTCACTACGGCATAATTCAGTGACTCAAACCAAAACTATCAAATCACACGGTGGATTTCTCAATGACAAATTATTTGCAATAATCAGGAATACATTGTGATTAAATATTGAGACTAAGAATGGAGTAATGTAGTCTTTAGATGAAGAAAATAAGTTCATGGATCAACAGCACTAATTATTTATATTCACCCTTCCAAGTAACTTAAAAAAAAAAAACAAGTATATATTAAAACCCATGGTTTCTCAAGAAGCCTTGGTGTCTGTAAATAAGTGTGGCAGCTCTATGGCTATGAGTCTTGGTCCACACTAGGTATCAAAACCATAATATATTTTGGAAAGGTTAAAAAGAGTTCCAGAATTAACAGAGCACCGGCTGATGGCCTAGAAGGAATCCAAATCCCTCTCCATTTCAAGGCTTGCTAGAACTAAGCTTGGGCTTGCATTAACACTGCTCTCTATACTTTCACTTCCTGTGCGTGGATACATTCTTTTAATGCTTCCATGTTAAACCTTTTATAAAATACTTTACCGGATTAAGAAGAAAATAGTAGACTTCGGGGGAGGAGGTCTATTAGTGTTAATTAATGTGGTTTGAGAATTTTCATATTTTCCCCAGCCCATCACCTACTCAAAGTTATCCATAAGCATGACACATATTTCTCCTGGTCTGTAGCTCATAATTTTAGCTTCACTGAAATGGAATACAAAGTTAGTTCTAAATTGTAGTCTAGTCCAAAATGCTTGTCTGCTTACTTGTCTGTCTCTTTGCTAAACTGTAAATGTGTATGAATTGTGTTTTACTCATCTCTGTATTCCCAATGACAGGCACATGGGAAAACAGCAAGTGTTTTAAGAAAGAATGAATAAATGAATGAGCAAATTCAATAAACATTATAAAGACCTATGCAGCAAGAAAACAAACAAACAAAATAGACACATGAATAAGAAGAGACTCACATCCCCCAACCCTGTAAAAAAAAAAAAAATTTAAAAAAAATTCTCTATTCTCTTCCAAGATCTCATAGATCAGCGAATGTTATGAAATATAGTACAGTGTAGCGGGAAAACTTAGACATGGGAGCTGGGACACATAACTAGATGTAGGGTTCCTTCTCTCAACTTCAGTTTCCTTGCCCAGACTAAAATATAATACTAAAGTCCCTTTCGGGCTCCGATATTCTGATTCTATTAAGCATAGTAGTGACTGGACACTGTGAATGACAAAAACATTAGAAATGTAGAACATAAATAGGCACTCTGACTTATTAATTTCCAGCTAAAGTACACCAAACAGGGAAACAAAATACCAAAAACACAATCAAGAAAGAGTGGACATTCACTTGCGCTACCTGCATTAATAGCATGGAACAGGAGCCAAGAGCCTGCAACAGAAGATGGATACCTCAGAGGAATACTGGTTTCTCTCCTGGGTTCTTTGGCGGCCAAACTTACTCTGTGACCTTGACTGGCAACTTAACCTGTCTGTGCATCAAGTGCAAAATGAGAGTCATCTGAACCTCTACCTCTTAGGGCTCTTGTGACGTTTAATTGAGCTAGTATGCATAAAGTGCTGAGCATTGCTGTGTGTCATAAACAATAAATTTTAAGAAAAGAAAAAGCCTCCAGTCTTGCCTACTCCTCAAAAGCAAGCACAACCGCCGCTAACATTTCTTTCCTCTGTCACACCATAGTAAGGCCTTCACGATGGGTCCATATTAATCCCCCACCCTTACATTATTTTGGAAAAAAAAATAATTAAAGCCCAATAAGCCCTCTCTTCAACTTCAAACTTTAGGCATGGATGTTCAAGATAAATCAATTACTATTTTAATGTTGTATTTCATCAAATTTAAGACAATTTTTTAAATACATTTTAGCATCTATGATATAGGGATGCATCTTACAATTAATGGCACCTTAGATCAAGTGAATGTGGTAATAATGTTTGGGGGTTATTTCCCATTCCAAATGTTTGTTTCCATCATTTCATGAATTGCATAGAATCTTTTGTGGCCTTACCTAAAAAATTTACCACTGTTTGTAATGTTATTTCTATGAGAACATTAATAAAAGTATAAATGAAAATAGTGAAAATATTTTGTTAAATGGTGGTTTCTTACACACCAAAGATCATTTCCAAAATTCTGAACCAAGGTCTGTTAAAGGACTAGTGAGAAAAAAATTCAGTGACAAATAAACCAAAGTTCTGATCACGCCATCGTCATTAACAAGTGAGACTGATAACAAATATGATTTATCTGGAGAGTAGGAAAATGATTCTGGTAAATTGGCTTCAATTTTTGTCCACCTAACTCACTTTGCAGAATGGCCACCAGGTTACACAGCCAAGTCATGTAGCCCTAGATTCACTCATTTTCGTGGGAAAAAAAGAAGAGGGGAGTGCAAGGGACAAAATACACAAACCTAGAAACACCAAAGTGCCATCAGTGTTTTGGGGTTTTTTAAATAAAGTATTGAAAAGCCGCAGTCCTTCAGTCAAGGACCTTTTCGTCCTGTGTATAACTACATCTCACAGCTGCACCTTCCCCACTGATGACCCACAACATCAAAAAATGTTAATCCTTGTTCAAGTTACTGAACTCATTCTTCCTCTCTCGCGCACGCTCTTTCTCTCTCTCTCCCGCTCCCCCCACCCCCATTCCCCTGAAATCAGTATCTGAAAAGCACATTTCTTCTTCTGAAGCTGTCAGGATAGACAGACATTCAGCCCCACTCAACGGAGGAGGGTGGGTAAACTGCTTCTCCCCGCGCCCCCTCCCGCGCGAGCGCTCACAACGGTCCGCACAGCCCCGCAGGCGCTTAGGAGTTCAGGAAACCCAGACTTGCAAGGCTCCCACTTCCACCCGATCCTTGCTGGAGAATGGGTCTCTGTCTCGGAGAGTGGGCAGCCCGAGATGGACAAGGAGAGAAGTTTGTGATCAGAGTTTGGCTACGCCGGGCGTGGGGAGGGAAGGGGAAAGGAACCTCCCCGAAATTTCCATCCACCGCCCCTCAGCCAGAAGTCCCCTCTAAGCACGCGGTCCAAAAAGTAACAAGGCGTTGTTTCCACAGCTTAAGCAGTTCTTTATTCCCCAGCCACAGCACCACCACTATCCGCCAAAAAAGAAAGAAAAGAAATCCGAATTGCAATCTCTCGCCTTTCTACTTAGAAATGCTGGAGCTGCACTGACCGCTCTCCCTCCCTTCCTCGCAGTGAAACGCTCTGCGTTTGCGCTCTCCCTCCATTCCTCGCAGGGAGGCCCGAATGGTCGCAGCCTTCTCCCTTCTCTCGGCCCGGCCCGGGTCGCCTCGCCGCACCGGGACCCGAAGGCCAGGCTCCCGGGCCCCTCCCAGCGACAGCCCGAGTCTGGCCCGCGATCTCCAGCGCATCTCATAGGCTAAGCCCACCCGCCCGTCTGCTCAGCTCTCCTCCGGGACCTCTCCTCACCTCGTCCGCTCTGGGGCGCCGACTTGTCCCCCGCCGCCTCGGATCTTCTGAGTCGCTGCAGGGAAGGTTCCGAATTCCTAGCAGAAATTGGGATGGAAGCCCGGGAAGTAGGAGGTGTTTGCTCAACTTCTAAGGACGTCACGCCTCTGCCTCCCGTAGCCAATCAGCAGCCGTCCTGCGGGAACAACCTTCTCCTCCACCAATCGGCGGCCTGGCAGGTGCTACGTCATGCCCGGCCCCTGCTCCTCCCCAAGGTCCTTCTGCCTCTCTGATCTCCGACCTGCGTTCTCAGCTGGGACTTCGAGTTCTCCCAGGATAATTATCGACCAGGTTTGTAACTGTCCGTGGCAGAAGGCCGGCTGGGACAGAAAACAACGAAAATAGTCGGGGCATTACGCGCTAAATATAGGTGCACATCTCCTGGGGAAAAGTTGCGAGTGCCGGTACCTCACGTTTGTTTAGCTATAGGCACTTTTCAAAGCATTTCACCGCCTTGTCACAAGCATATGAAGCCAGATAACAGTTCTTACAACAGTTTTAGAAGCCAGCAAGCAGAGAATATGAGAAATTAAATCTGAGTGTGTTCATGTGCATATGGCAATGTCCAGTGTTCTTGAAAGGTCCTAACTACGTAGGAGGCCTGGAGGGAGGAGGAAAACGTATTTCACAGACACTATCCCCAGCACTAGGAACTGAAAAATCGTCTGAAGCCCCGCTGTGATTCCCCCAAGGAGTCAATGGTCAGAAGTTAATCTTCCCTCCTGTTTTTACAACTTTCTCCACCACTTACTCTTCTTATACCTGCCATAGATGTATTTAGCTACTGAACTCTTAAGTCAACAATAGCCAGAACATTCTTGAGACTCCACTCATATCTCGAATTGCAGATAAAATTATTTATTTATTCATTTATGGTAGAGATGGGGTCTCACTGTGTTGACCAGGCCACTGGTATGGAACTCCTAGCCTCAAGCTATCCTCCTACCTCGTCCTCCCAAAGCACTGGGATTACAGGTGTTAGCCATTGTGCCCAGCCCCAAATTAGAATTCTATCTGTAAGTAGAGTTAGAATTTTCTTCGTACCTTTAGCTTCACATTTACAAAATCCGATCCCTTATCATTCTTGGAAAGTCTTCCAAAGGCTGTGTAGTGGTTCACACCTGTAATCTCAGCACTCTGGGAGACTGAGGCTGGAGACCTGGGCTCAAGTGAGCCCAGGAGTTTAAGACTAACCTTGGCAACATAGCAAGACCTGTGTCGACTAAAAATAAAAATAATAAAAAATAAATAAAATTTTAAAAAGCCAGGTGTAATGGCACATACCTGTGGTCCCAACTACTCAGGAGGCTGAGGTGGAAAGATCATTTGAACCCGGGGATGTTGCGGCTACAGTGAGTCATGATCATGCCACTGCACTCTAGTCTGGGTGATAGAGTAGGACCGTGTCTCAAAAAATAAAATAAAATAAAATAAAATAAAGCCTTCCCTTTTGTGTTCACCTGCTCTGTTATTAATATCACTGCATTCCTACTCACCACCTGTCCAGACTTAAAAAGCCACGGTCACTTCAGTTCTTCCTCTGGTCTCTCGGGCTTACCCGTGGTGTTGACACTGTCCTTTAAAAACCCCACTACTATCACCCTACTTCAAACCCCTTTTTATATACAACATAGTCCATATTTTTTTAAGCATACAACTCTAATTGTCTCATTGGCCTAAGCAAAAAGTCTCAGAGACTACCCAGTACTTGTGGAGCATTAGCCCAAAGTTCTTCGCATAATGTTAGTTGCTTCAGATGTGGCCAAAATCAATGACCTTAGCTTTATTTCTGCAGCAGAACCAGCCTGAAACCACCACTGAAACACAATGTATGCCTTGCTATCTTCCTAAGGATTAAGCATGTGGGTAAGAATGTAAGAATCGTTACTTTTCTCCTTCGAGTTGTAAATCATGGGCAAGTTACTCAATTTAAAAAAACAAAAACAAAAACCTGTGCTCCACTATCTGTTAATGGGTTAATAATAGCAACTACTTCCTGGAGTCATGAGAACAAAATGAGATAATGGCCAAAGTGCTCTGTCAAGTGTCTTGCTAAAGAAACTGGAAATCATTATTTATTTTCCTCCAAATACCTCATGTTATACCTTTATCTGTAATTCTAATTTACAAAAATATGCACCTTTCTAAAACTAACCAGCCCTTTGGGGTTCAGCTCAATGCCACTTAAATAATGAAAACTTTCCTGAATATTTCAGCCAGATGTGATTGTTCCCCTTCTCCCTTGTGTATTGGCCTCTCTTATTGTACTTATCACAGTCTTCCTTTTATCATAGTTATTCATACTTATCTTATCCACATCGCTCAGCTCACCTGTCATCACCACCACAAAATAAGATTATGTACATGGACTTCCTCTTTTTTTTTTTTTTTTTTGAGACGGAGTCTCACTCTGTCGCCCAGACTGGAGTGCAGTGGCCGGATCTCGGCTCACTGCAAGTTCCGCCTCCCGGGTTTACGCCATTCTCCTGCCTCAGCCTCCCGTGTAGCTGGGACTACCGGCGCCCGCCACCTCGCCCGGTTAGTTTTTTGTATTTTTTTGGTAGAGACGGGGTTTCACCGTGTTAGCCAGGCTGGTCTGGATCTCCTAACCTTGTGATCCGCCCGTCTCGGCCTCCCAAAGTGCTGGACTTCCTCTTTTCTTTTATTTTCTTTCTTTCTTTCTTTCTTTCTTTCTTTCTTTCTTTCTTTCTTTCTTTCTTTCTTTCTTTCTTTCTTTCTTTTTCATTGCTTCTAGTACGATGCTATGCATATAATAAGTCAGTCGGGGTCTCAGCAGGAAATAGGTGGCACAATCCAACTGGGTAAATTAGGAGACACAAAAGGACTGAGTGTGTGCAGGGATAAAGGAAAGTGGCAGTATATGTGTAGTTCCTGGGACTAGCAACATTGACAATCACTCGTAGGCCTAAACAGGGCCAGGGAAAGAACTAGTTACCAGAACTCGGGAATAGTTATATCTGTAGTGTAACGGTAGCTGTAGCTGTAACTTTAGGGAGTGTCATTCAACCAACAGTAGTGTTTCTGGCAGGAAAAAAGCTGCCTAAAGATTAATCCTGCCTGCCGGGCACAGTGGCTCATGCCTGTAATCCCAGCACTTTGGGAGGCCAAGGTGGGCAGATTACCTGAGTTCAGGAGTTCGAGAACAGCCTGGCCAACATAGTGAAACCCTGTCTCTACTAAAAATACAACATCTAGCCAGGCGCATTGGCATGCGCCTGTAATCCCAGCTACTTGGGAGGCTGAGGCAGGAGAATCGCTTGAACCTGGGAGGCGGAGGTTGCAGTGAGCCGAGACTGCACCACTGCACTCCAGCCTGGGTGACAAGAGTGAGACTCCATTTCAAAAACAAACAAAATGATTTATCCTACCTGAAGAGGAACCTACTAAGGCAGGGGTCAACAAACTTTTTTTCTGTAAAGGGCCAGAAAATAAATATTTTAGGCTTCACAGATCATACCATCTCTATCATGTCATGACTACTCAGCTCTGCTGGCTGGAGTGTAAAAGGCAGCTATAGGCCATATTTAAACGGATATGTGTGGCTGTGTTTCGATAAAACTAAATTTACAAAAGTAGGCTGCAGATCAGATAGGGCATCTGGGCTATAGTTTGCAGACCCCTGTTCTTCCATAGGGAAGGAATAATCTTACTTCACTCTGCTCCTGCCCCTTTAACTCCTGCTGGTGGCTTCTACTAATTGAACATAAATAGAGCCAGATTGTTAGTGCAGCCCAAAAAGGTCCCCTCCCATTGTGGGGGCAGAGCAGGTGCAGAAACGGACATAAATTCTAGAGGGTTCAAAGAAGAATATTCAACACAAAATGTTTTCAGCAACTGCTTGTTGAAATGAATGAATTGTATAACTGGTCACTGTGAGTCCCACTGCAAATGGTTGAACACTCATGGAAAAACTGCTGAAATTTAATTCCTAAATAGGAAAAGCTGGGAGAGGGCCCTGGACCATCATGAATCCAATGAGGACCTGAGGCTCAGTGTGCTTCTCTCTTGCTTTACTTTAGAAATTTTGCAAAATATACACATGAGAAATACTGGTTCTTGAAATGAGGAATTTTGAATGTTTTTTGGTGTGGTGACATTTGTTGTAATGAGTGCGACAGATCTCAGAAATTTCTTTATAATGAAAGGGATAACAGATGAGAGACAAAAACAAACCTTGGGTACCCCTCAAGTCCGCTCCTGCAATCAACCCCTCAAACATTTTTAATAAGGGAGACCCCTTCCATCCACATTGGTTGCCGAGTCCATGCTCCTGAAATTGGAAAGTTGAGTCTAGGCCACTCAGGCTGCCTCTTTCTCTCACCTACGTTGGCTTTCTCTCTTCCATGGTCATTCTCTACTTTAGTCTGGTTCTTCCTGTGAGGTCCTGAAAGGTAGTGCTTTGGCACTTGAGAACTGGAGTGAATGGGACCTAGATTTAATCCCTTCTTTGCCACTCACTAGCAAGTCACTTTGTCTCTTTAAATCTCGCTTTCTCCCATCAGGACAGTGGAGAACATCATAGGGTTGTCAAGATTAAATGAGCCATGTTCTTAATATATGTGAGCTAATGTTAAAGCTTACTAGTTTGTCCTGTTTTATCACCCCCTCACCTTTCATCGCATTTGGAACCCAGTCTCACTTTTAAATAAGTTTTTCTATAAAGAGAAAGCAAGTAGGTATTTGAGAGGAGAAGGAGGAAGAAATCCAGCAAGCTCCTAAATGTGTTCCATTTATTTCTCAAAATTCTATACAGTAAGTCCTTACTTAACATCATCAACAGGTTCTTGGAAACAGTGACTTTAAGCAAAACAACATGCAGCAGTTCTTTGAATAACATAATTTTATTCAACATAGTTTTGTTATAACATTGATAAGAAAAAATGGCTTTGTTACAAGCATATGTATGCCATTTTGCTTAAAGTAATAGTTTCCAAGAACCTATGGATGACATGGTCAAGACTAATTGTATTTCTTAAATGAACAGCAATTTTTACAATATCATCTATGATACACTCACCCTAATAAAATATTCTACTTATTGTAAACAGAACGTTC